AGCGATAAATCATTAAGAATTTTCACATATCACACCTTTATAAATACTTCATTAAATTTTTTTATTGAAATATAAATATAATTATTATCATTTATCAATGAATGTAAATCTCTAGATACTTTTATCAAATATATTAATATAAAGTATTATTATTCAAAAGCATAAATCATTCAAATTTATTGAAACATTGTAATTAATGTTATAATATGAGATCTCTTTTTCACTTTTCCTGACTCTCTTTTTCCCCTTTCTTTAAAGTTATTCGTAAACAAACTAAAAGCTATGTTTAATACAAACAAAATTTCAACAAATCGTATTTAACGCTATCAAGATTCCCTATATTTGGTGGAGATTTCAATGCCCTCATATTCAAGTCGATTGCGTTACTAAAACACATTTTGTAGAATTTGAAAATCAAACAAGATTTTGATTTCCCAAAAATTTTCACTTTTACGCCCAATAATTGGCAATTAACTGAAATAAAAATTATTCAACGCACACAGTATATATAGAATATTCTTTCTAATATATTTTCTGCAATGTACGGTAGAAATTCCGCGTGATCCGTCGGCAGTAATTCTGTACTGTTTTCGAACAGTAATACAATTCTTTAAGTGTGAGTCTTGTTATAAATTTAATTTTTTTTAATTTTATAATTAAATATTTTATACAGCAACACAAAAGCACACAAAAAATTTTAAAGACTACAATTTATATTGATTCAGTAAAAAAAATTGTATTTTGTTGTAACTATTTTACAAGACTCTTTCTACTCCTTGAAAAAACTTTAAAACAGAGTTTAGTTACTTATATTTAAATAATACACTCGGTTGTTTTGATATGCATAATATCAATCATAATTATCGTTGTATTCGTCCATAATTATTGCAATAGTTATATCCTCAGGATTACATAAACAATTTATTGGGTTTAAAATCTTGAAAAATTTTCTACAATTACATTTATGATTCTTTAATCACTTCCGATGAATCGTTTCCATTTTCTCTCTCAAATTACCGACATTTTCAACACAAAGATCACAGATCATTTGAAGCTATCTACGCGCGGATGCACGATCTCTCTTAAATTCTTTCACTTTTAACAGTACACTTTGACTTGCGACGTACGTTACATCGACATTTACTGATACAATTAACGTTTTAGTGTGCACTTTCGAGTGGACGTGTTCTTTCGATCAGAAGACTCGAAAAGGCGGCCGCATCGAGACTGGTCGCGTCGAGAGAAAGCTGCAACTCGCGAGCGAGTAGTTCTTCAGAAACCCAGTTCAGTACCGTCGCAAGTTACCAACTCCATAAGATCTAAATGAAGAATAGGAAATAAAAAAATATAATGAAATAGCATTTAATTAAATAATCTAACAAAAAATGATTAAAAAACGGATTCAAACTTCACTGTAAATTATCGATACAAATTAATATACATTTACATTTTTGTTAATATAAAGTCAATTAATATCCATTATATTATATAAAATCAGTTAATAAGTTTTTTTTATTTTTAAATGTACATTTAAATATATACATGCATATTTTTTTACATATATTATATAATTTATGGATTCTATCCAATTAACGAATCACATGTAGACTATCATAAATCTATTTTTAATTTTATCGGAAAATATATATTATTCTACGTTTGTATGAATTATATGTGTAACATAATAAAATATTTTTACATGTATCGTTTAAAGATATTATTGGAAACATTAGGTAATTTAGATAAACGCGATAAAAGTTATTGTAGTATGTAACCGCACAAAAAAAGTTGCAGCAATATTGCTGCAACATTGCAGCAACGTGTAATATTATTGCTACAATATTACTGCAACTTTTGTACTGTTGCGCTGTTGGAGTATATTTTTGTATTTTTATTGCAATATCACTTATAAAAATATTATCTAAAATTTTAGATAATAATTTAGATAAACGCAATAAAACTGTATTTCCATTTTTTAATATTCATATAATTGATAATTTTTCAATAAATAAAACTTAAATTACAATACAAGAAATAACATTACATGCATTGTTTAAAAGACCGAGTATATACTTTATTTAGATATAGGTAACTAAAAGTTTGTTATGAGCCAGCACTGACTCCTACTACCGGAGCAATGTCCCTCCTTCCACCGTGCTTTCCGCGCAACGATAACCGGACTATCCTGACCATAGTGGAAGAAACTCAGGTGTCTTCTTGCACATACATTTCTAACAGCCAATGAAAACGTGACACCATATGTCGCCATGTTGCCGCGGTTATTTGAATTAGGCTTTGTGTCTTTATTATTTTATTTATTTTTGTGTTTTTAATTATATTTGCTTACAGTGTATAACATAATGAATTTGATTTTATCTTTTGCCATAAATTTTCCATAAATTTCTTTCTACTTAAATAGTAATGCTTTCTTTTTTGGAAAGCGATAAAAATGAATATTTCTGAATTCTTTTTGATGATCATTTTTATATGTTTTTATTTGGCAAGTTTTGGCACACATTTTCATCTCTCAAACTGTCATTTCACATTTATCACGGTGCAAATGTTTAAATGGTCACATTTGGAATCTGCATAGAAACGTACAAAATTCGTCTCGAGAACACCTGAATTCTGCCACCATGATCCTGCAGATTACTATGAATCTGTTATGTCTTGACCAACAGCATAACTAATGCCATGACATTAGAATCGAAGTTCTATTCTCACGCGAAGAAAAATTTATGTGATCTCTTCTTTTAAAAGTAATTCTGCAAATAATAATTTATCGTTACATATAATAAATATATATAATTTTATATACAGATTGTATTTTCATAATATAAATATGTATAAATATACAGCGCGCAAAGGAAATTTATTATTATATACATATTGTAGGTATATAATTGTTTTTAATATTATAAAATGTAATTTGATTAAAATGTTCAATAAGCAATAAATTAATGTATAGTAGCATTTTATTTTGTCTATATTTATAAAAAAATCACTTTTAATTCTTTCTGCCAAATAATTAACATTTAATTACTTAATTATAAACTATCAATTAATCATTTGAAATATTTAATATAATTTTTGGAGTAATGAACGAATATTCTCAACTTTAAAAATTTAACATGAAATGAAAATACCATACGAGATCGATTACGAAGAAACAACCAACGAAAGATCACCGTGAAATGCAGCAAATGTCCGAAAAACAATTTCAAAGCAATAAAATTTGTTTTGCCCATAGTGTGCCACGGAAGAAATTTTTTCTTCTAGCATGATTTTGGCTTCATAATGTCATAAAGAAAATTTTTTAGTGAAAATAATTTTTTATTAAAAAGAATATTATAACAAAAAATAATTATAGTAAAATAATAATAATAATAATATATAATATAATGAAAATAATATAATAAAAAAATGTACGTTATTTCTAATACAAACCTTGATCACAGTTATGAGATAACATGGACTCTGCACAAGTCAACGATTGGGTATGTTAATTTAGATGTTCTTGATTTTTTATATTTTGATGTAAATCGTTTTATATTTTAATATCGTGTTATTTTAATCCCTCCCCGCCTCTCTCTCTCTCTCTCTCTCTCTCTTTCTCTTTCTTGCTTTCTTTCTTGCTTTCTTTCTTCTTCTTCCTATTTTTCAATTACTAAATAATTTACTATAAATATTAAAAATTACATTTGACGTGATAAGTATTATATGTAATATTATCATCTTACATATAATATTTATTTTAAGTAATATGCCGATAACATATATAAATTATAATACAAAATTTGTTTAGAAAAATATTAACTAAAACTTTATCAAATTAATTAGTTATTAGTTATTACTTTAATAGGTTAATTATTTAAATTACATTAATTGAATCAATATTATACAGCCATTGACAAAATTATTAGGCACCTTATTTATTTAACAATTTCTTCAATTTATAAGGAAATAAATAACACTATCTTTATAAATGTTATCATTTATTTCTTAAATAATCATATAAACTAATATTTGCTTGGTCCGCCATTATTTTTTATGACTTCTGCTATTCTTTTAGGTAAGCTATGTACTAATCTTTCGCATATAGTAGGTGATATTTTCTCCCATTCTTCGAAAATCGCTTTCTTGAGCTCAGTAATTGAAGTTAGGCATATTTTGAAATCTCGGATAATATGTTAACAATAATAAGATAAAGAATTGCCTAGCAATTGCTCGAAACAAGACTGATAACGTCCGTATTATTCGAAGTCGAAATGCACACTAAACAGTTTTGTACATATTATCATTTCTCTAAGAAACTTATATGCCTCAGTTGCTTGACCTTCTCACAAAGTCAGTAGCATGAAAACAACACGCAAATAGAGAGCTTATGCACATTCAGTTGTGAAAAATTTAGAAAAAGCAAGGGTGCCTAATAATTTTGTCAATGGCTGTATATGTATATAATCATATTATATATGTATATAAATAGAAATATATATTATACATACGTATATGTATGTATATTTATGCTACAGAAGACATAAACAAGACATAAATTGCAGTTAAAACGAAAGATAATTCATTACTTCATTATGAAACTTTTCCAAATCACACAAGCTTACTTCTCCGAACTACCACCAGTGCCAAATTATATTCTCGAGCACAATGAATTTTTTTAGAAACGTGCAAAATAGATATATCCTTTGCAGTACAAAATTGTAAGTTCTTTTTTTACTAATAATATATCTTTTATCTTTCTTGTTATTAACATTTTTCTCTATTTTCTATATTTGTTCCATTTATGCTTATACATTTTTTTTTATATTTAAGAGATATTTAAAATATACATTATATTATTCTATCTTATAGAGATTTCCAGACTTGAAGATGGCAAAATAAAAATTACAGTTCCAAAAAACTAATTTAACAATAGCACATTATCCTTTTAATTTTAGTAATAAACGATTAAAAATAAGTGAAATTTAAAAAAGCACAATAGAAAGATGTATTCGACTCCCGATTATTCTAATAATAAAAATTATAAAAATTATAAAACTATAGACAGGATTCACAAAATTGAATACATAAAAGGTGTTATACAAGATTTAGAAAACTATGGCCCAGCTGGTTTAATACACATCGCTATTTTAAGTGACATAATCCAAAGATCTATCAAGATATGGAATGCTAATGGTAGTTTAAACAAAATAATTGGCAAAAGAAAAACAGGACATCCTATAGATATCGAATATCAAGCGATCAGTTCAAAAGGAATAGGTAAAAGTCAATTAAATTAAAAAAAAATTTTTTTAAAGAGCCAATTGTGAACAAGTTTACAATTTCTCAGATTTTACACTTTAAAATGATTTCACCTTTTTTAATCCAATTAGAATAAAATTGAAAATCAACAGGAAAAAAAATATATTTTATGTTTCAGACATAAATATTCTATATTAATTTTAACTTCGTTTCTTTTCTTAATATGACTCGATCAGAATTTTCCAAACTTTTTTTATCATTCTCTAGGTCATTGGACGCTAAGAGGTGGAAAAGATCCCGACAATGTCATCATTGACTTAAATAGCTGTCTTTTTTCGGTGATCGGTTCTCAAATCGGGCAGAATCCATTAAAACTTCGTAAATGGACACAGCTAAAATTGAAAGCCAATTTTCAGAATTTGACCAAATGGATAGATAAGATCCTCCAGTTGGAGGGAAATGATAAGATAATCTTGATGATTGGCGGGGCTTGTTACAATGGAACAACACCGTACGACGCTGGAATGATTATAGACCTGTCACAAGGACGACGCGGCCATGGGTAACTTTAATACAGTACTCATAGTTATGGCTACGTTTACACCGTACATTTAAACCACGGCCTTACAATAGATGTTCTTGTTTATCCTATAGGTTAAACAAAGACACCTATCGTATAGATCGCAGACTAAGCGCACGGTGTAAACATAGCCAATGTGATCAAACGTCCTTGATCTCGATAGAGCAATCCCGTTTTCGAGATGCTGAACATGTCAAATGTCCTGATTTTAGCAGAAAAAAAAAGCAAACAGATCGCGCTGAAAAATATTTTATAATTTATTTTTTCAAATTTTGTAAAATCATAAAATATGTACAATATTATCATATCCAGATGAAAATAATGCAGTAGGTGAATAAGTTCCTTCTTTGCAATGAGCAAATTAGTGTGGACAGTGAAAAAAACTTGGGAGTTCGTATTTTAAAAGCAATATTAATAACAAATATCAATTTCATGATTTCAATTGTTAAGAATTTTGTTTCTTAAGAATTCACTTTCTTTGTTAAAGCAAATAATTTCAAATGATAAATATGAATTGTATTATTTTTTTTTAAATAAATTACTATTATTGTATTTATCTGTACATTCATATATCCATCCCCCCCTTCCGTTTAACAAAATTGTCCTATTATAGATTCGAAAATATCTGATCACTTTTTAGATTTTCGAATTTCCACCATTCATACGGCCATGCTAGAGGACACGCTTCATTTCATACAGGTTGCGGACTAACTGATCGCATCGAGGAATATTCTTCTGAATATCCGAAGTCTGGTTTTCTATCGCGAGATGATATGAATTATGTCGCTCATTTAGCATTATGTACAGAAGAAGCTCAAAAAGCCATACTAAAGCTCAATAATGGTCTTAAACAAGACACATTACACATATCGGTTGATGACATAGAGAAGCAGAGAATTCTAGAAGGCTACGAAAACTGTCCATTACCTGAAGTAAAAGAGTGGTGCTTTAAAGAACCAAAACCACAGCTACATAAATTTCAACAAGTAGTATTAACGTTAGGACATTATGAAAACAAAATGCTTTCTCGGGAGGAGAATGTTTGGATATGTACTTTTTATCCTGTGATAGCTACTTCTTTAGATGTATAAAGATACGTAAGTGAAATAATGAGGCGTCCTCGAAAACAATACGGCATATACCCCCGCACCAGAAGGACTTAACGAGAACTAACTTCTCGAATTCAAAAAACCGCACAGACTAGAATAAAAGACGTAACATTGAAAGATTTTTCAGTTGTGTTCTAATGAAATAATTTTTTTGAAGTGAGTCCCCTATAAGGGCTCCAAGCTAAAAGCATAATAGTTTTTTTTTAGATATTTACCGAATAAATGAAATATATTTTAAAATATTATCATTTGCTTATCAGGAACCTCGATCAAATAAGACAGTGCTCGGCAAGATTTGCACTTCTCGGCCGATTTTCGAGAGGCTCCGCCTCCCGCTACTCCTTTCACCGCTCGCCCCGCGCGCAGTCCAAATGCCGCTCGACGTTTAGGAGCGTATGACGCTCGTAGATATGAAGTTCACCCGCTTTGGGCGTTCACGCTGTAAACTTCATTCTATATCTTTTTTTTTTCGTTCATTACATAACTAAGATAGAATGAAACAACGCGTAAAATCGAGCGCTTACGCGTTGCTTCATTCTATCTTAGTTATGTAATGAACAAAAAAAAAAACAGAATGAAATTTACAGCGTGAACGCTCAAAGCGGGTGGACCTCGTGTCTATGAGCGTCATACGCTCTTAAACGTCGAGCGGCATTTGGATTGAACGTGGGGCGAACGGTGAGAAGAGTAGCGAGAGGCGGAGCCTCTCGAAAATCGGCCGAGAAGTGCAAATCTTGCCGAACTCTGGTCTAAGAATTAGACGATGCTCTGTTTACGTTCTCTAGACTGCCTAATCACGTTCCGTTTACATTCAACGAACATTGTGCTCGTGCTTGCCGAAGAACTTATTCGATCGAATAAAGTGTGCTGTTAGGGAATGTAAACAAAAAAAAAATATAGTTAGTTGAAATAGAAAATAGTAAATACATATTTTCTGTGCAGGAAAATAATTGAAATAGATTTAACAGAAATATTTATTTAAAGGATGCATCTATAGAAATACTATTTCAAATAAATATTTTGCATCGTAAATATTAGGAAGGCAAATAGTATTTACCATTTACATCAATATTTACTTCAATTTAATTATGAAATATATAACGAAATGTCAAATAAAATACTTATTTGACATTTCGTTATATATTTCATAATTAAACAAAACACTTCTATTTTCTATTTCCTATTTTCTATTTACTATTTCCTATTTCTAAACAGTATGAAATAAAAAATAGTAAAAATAAAATAAGAAGCAGCACACGTTCCAAAGATACACAAGGTGTCCCATACATTTCGCGTGACACCCATTAATAGTAGAATCTGAGATTATTTCAAAACGAAAAAGAAATAATAAATAGAAAATAGAAGTGTTTTGTTTAATTATGAAATAACGAAATGTCAAATATAAGTATTTTATTTGAAATAAATGTTAATGTAAATAGTTAGAGTCCGATCGAAACTTTTACCGAAACTGAAAACAAAACACTCATTACGTGTCATTTTCGACTGAAACCATATACCTCTTCGTAAATATTAATTTTTATGTGTAATTATTGTTTTAATAATTAAATTATGATGTTTATGAAGAAGTACTTACTTCTTTGGTCAAAATTGACACACAACCGAAATTTCGGTTTTCGATTTTGGCCGAAATTTAATTACTATATCAATAAATTATGATATTTATAAAGAAAAAGTATACGATATATGAGCATGTCTACATATGGCCTTTGTAGGATTTCTATTTTTTAATTTTGATTTCAGTTTTGACCGAAATTGATATATAGCAGTGTTTCAATTTAGTTTCGACCAAAGTTTCGGTCGGACTCTATAAAATAGTAAATATTATTTGCCTTTTTTATATTTACGATGCAAAATACTTTTACTTGAAATAGTATTTTTTACATGTCCTACACGAAATACTTATTTCAAATAGTATTTTTCCTTTAGATTCTTCCTTTAAATAAATATTTCTGCTGCATTTATTTCAATTTTTCCCCAACTCTGCTTTTATCCGAAGATGTGATCCCTCTCTACACTGTAATAACATTACATAAAGCATATAAATGAAGAAATCAAGGAGACAATTTCGTAATCTTCTTAATTTTAAGAAGATTACGAAATATCCAAACTGTACTAGATAGCATAATGCTAGCAATTTGGAAAGATTGGAAGATTGAGAGCAAATTCGATTAGATTTCTACTATAAATCCATAGCAATCTGTGTTCATATTAAGCTCAGAATTTGTCAACAGAATTTATTAATGTGTTATGCACCAGTAGTTTGATGACAGAAACCAAGCAAGTTGTGCACGCGGACAATTTGATAGTAGACCAGCAGCAGAAACTGCAGAATTTGCAGATCTGCCAATCTGCTAACAAAGCATATCAGCAGACTTTGTCTTATTTCTGGCGACAGCTTCCACACATACACACACACATACACACACACACACACACAGATCGACATTATCAGATATTACAGACTATGTAATATTCGTTGCTCCTTTGCCATCAAAAATTGGTAGTATACTTTGCTTAAAATTTATCTCTGCAAACTTTATTATCTGGGTAGTTAAGTTACAAAAAAAATAGCCATTTATTTCATATCAAAGTCATTAGAAGCCTAATTTAACTACTGTCTGAACTTTCCACGTTTTACTTTCTATTTTCATATATCTGCAAATCTTCTATATATATCTATTTTATCTTAAAAACAATTTTATTGTCAAAAAATACAATCACATGGGACAAACCTTATGTCTATTCTTTAAATACATTTGCAATAATAAAAGGATGTTAAATAACAGAGATTTGTAATGACTTACATCTTGTACCGAACTATCTAAGGTATTTAACAGATTCTCAATTATGGTAATAATAATTTCCGCTTCACAAATATCCAAATGATTGACAATCTCGTGCAACCAAGGAAGCACGCCATATCCTCGTGTGAGGAGTAAGGATGCTTTGGGAATTTTAGTAGTAGAGGCGATGACTTCCAAAATTAGTTTCTAAAAAAAAGTTTGTATCAATATTCAAATGAATAATACGAACATCTATAATAAAACTTATAATAAAGAAATCTTCTTCGTAGATCAAATCCACTTAATTTATTTTATTAATATATATAAACAAAATAATTGATTAAAAATCAAGACTGCTTCTTGATATTAATTACAGTCGAATTTTTAATTCATTATACCGAACCTCTTTATTGATAACTCAACCAAATAAATTCATTATTCTTAGTCTTTCCTCATAATCCTTGCTCCAAAGATGCATGCACAAAATGAAAATATCATTGTATCGACGAATTATTAACAATTACGATTTTCTTTTTTTAAATTGCTTTCTCATTTTACATAATTATCAATTACATTATCTATTACATAATCATGTAGCTAATATAAAATAATGAGAAAGTATTAAGCACAAGGAAAACTGTTAAGAATATAAAAATTTAGAGAATTAAAAAGATGAGAAAATATTAAGAATAGGGATATTAAAAATAAGGATGTTAAGAATAGAAATTTTCAGTTGTGTGTCATATCAAATGAAAGATTAACTCACCTTGGTTTTGGCATCCGACAATATGCAAGTGTAGAAATCAAGAAGAATTTTGAACAACATGCATTTCAAGGCCACGTTTAAATCGTTATCTCCCTTCATGCCATCTCGGATGTTCTCCAAAATCCAGTATCGATGCGCATTATGCTCCACGTGCGAACTGTGCAACAACTGTAGCAGCTCCGGTATGGTATTTAGGTCCAGAGCTGTTTTGGCCATTAGGAAGGTGTGCAATGGCGAATAAAGGGGGTGCAGAGGTTGAGTGGCAACTAACGAAGCTCTAGCTAAGAAGGTAGTCATCAGACAACTCAGGCGAACATCTTTCAATTGACATTTTAAGGAAAAGACTCCATTTCGCAAAGCGTCAATTAGACGCATCCATAATAACTTTTCTTTAGACCTAAATAAGGAAATTGGTTTTTTAATGAATCATTTTAATCCTTTGTCGCCTGAATTTATTAAGAAAAGTATGCTTTTAATCTATGTGGCAATCAATGGAAAAAAAATCGGCGCTTTTAATATAAAGCTCGGAGATGAGTCTCTAAATTATAATCACAAGATCGTAAAGGTAAAAAAAAAGTAGGGTCATAAAAGAAAAATCTCTCTATATATACATATACATAATCAAAGATAATTAAACAAACTAAATTTAAAATTTAATATTAAAGAGTAATTAAATTATTACTAACAAACTAAATTATGACAAATAATATAAAGTTCTATATTCTAGAAGACCTATTATTTATGACAATGTATAATCTACTGATTTCATTTTCTTGTGTAATTATTAAAATTGCTACTTACTTGGATGCTTCCAAATGGAAATAATATCTAGAGATAATGGTGTATGCTGTCATCCGAATATCGTTCGAGTCACTGCAACATGCAGCAAGTACTAACGCTAATGCACCACTCTGGCTTACTTTATAACACGCAACAATATTATTTTCTGCTAATAAAGTACACAGTAATGGCAGATAAAATGCTGGATCATACACATTACTATTCTCGTGTATATATAATTCATTACTCTGAAAAAAGGTAATAGAATTTTCTCCAAAGATAAAAAAATTAAAATCTTACGTAACATAAAGTCCCACAAAATATATAATTCTATTTATTTTTGTGTGTTTATAATTTCTATAAATCAGGCCAGTCTAATTTCAGCTCCGGAGCCAAAACGCAAAGTCGATGCAAAAAAATTCAATGTGGGTAAGATTTCGGAACTATAAAATATTGATATTGCTGTACGCATTTAAGTTACGCTTCATCAACAGTTTACAGTTCCTAAAATCTTGCATTGAATTTTTTTACGTCGATAGCTTTGCGTTTTAGCTCCGGAGCTCAAATTAAACAGGCCTGCTATAAATATTTGAAATTTATTTTTAAAAAAAGGATTATACGGTAGAGGATATTTCAGACCGTAAATTTATGAGACAGTAAAATTTTGAGACAGGTCTTACAAAACATATTTAGGTAACTTACTTTCATAGCTCTGTGTATAGGATAATTTTTTATAGTCTCATTGACAATATTCTTATTGAACAAGTTAAAGACTTCGGAAGTGGAAGGTTGTCTCCATAGTGCAGTA